AATGGCGTCTGTTTGTTGGTACCAGTTAGCGGCAGATCAAACACTAGCTCCGAAACACGCAGCGCAAGCCCGACATGTTCCAACCGCAGCTTGCTCAGCACCTCATGTAGCAAAAACAGCAATCGGTTGACCTGCTCACGCGCCTCTGACTCCGCTGTCGTGGCACTTGCTGATATGCCGGTGTCGGCTTGGTTGCTGCTAGTTAACTCTGGCTCGCTTCCCTCTGCAGGGCTGCTAGAGCTAGAGCTACTACTACTATACTGTCGCAGCAGACTGGCAAGATGAGAATTGAGTGTCCGCATCCCGCGAGATGGCGTATTATTTGAACGCGACCCAGGCGCCATCCGCAGAATTGATACCTCGTCAAGTAGCGACTCAACGATACCCGCACGTACATGCACCTGTCCGAGCTTTACGCTTTGATCAACCTTCTTCGGAAGTCCCCAGAATGTCGTGATCACCTCGTTTCGCACTGTACAGCGCTGACAATTGACCGCTGGTCCACGTTGGTGTGGTTTGTCGTTGTCGCCAGCCCCTTTACCTGCCAGCATGTCCTGCATTACCAGCGTCTTGACTAGCTCCCACCGTGAATTCATATGTTGCTGTGTCGTCCCGTCAATCCCTGCAAGCAGCCGCACTCCCGTAAACTCCAACGCCAGCGTAGACAAATACTTGTGGCTGCGGTCGCGCTTTTGCACCCGTGCAAGGCGGTGTAACCGTTCTGATGCCGCAAATGTATCTGTTGTCGACTCCCGCCGACCTTCGCTAGGATCTTCTGTGCGGTGAAAGTTGAGCACTTTCAGTAGCCAATCGAAAATTCCGCGCAACGAGTTAGTAATGTCCGTCTGTATCCACCTACCACTGGTACTGCCTGCACTGCGGCTTTCATGCGCTGATTCGGCCCACATTGAGCCGCTGTTAATCTGCAGTGTTATGCCGTGACCAGCGCGCGCCATTTCACCACTATGGGCAACCATTAGCCGAATATCCGTCACATTAATATCGACCCATTGCGCAAAAAGTGATGCAAAATATGTGTACGTGCGCAGAATAGTTGAGAGTTTCTTGGCCAGTTTGGCTGCCAGCTCTTGTGCCTTGCGATCCAACACATGCTCACCAGATGTGGCATTGTTGCTGTCGCGAGGCTGCTCCTCAAATGTGGCTGGCTGAGCGGCAAAATCTGTGTCGCTATTTGGTTTATCATCAAACAGCCACATTCTATCGCTGCCGCTATCAGCCTGTGCATCCGTCCGAGATTCTGTAAAAAGGTGTATTTGCACTCCGCGCGCATATATTTGAAGCCGCTTAGACAGGCAGCTGCTGCCGCTGTTGCTAGCGCCTTCGCACATACCAGGCTGATCAGGATGTACACCTGGCGTAGGCCCCTGGGTGGACGCGTAAGAGTCAGTGCTTGTGCGTGTCGACGCAGCCTCCGGTGCCTGCGGAGTTGACAGGGTTTCGGCTGCCGACACACCAGTCTGTTGCCGTGGACGTTGGCCTATGGCTCGAAAGAAGTTCTTTATCTTCTCCCATCGCATGCGAATGCGCATACGTAACCTTCGCATTGTTCGGATATCAATTCCAATTTCGTCAATGCGCAGCGCAACCTCTGTTCTGCCACGCATACGCACCTTAACTACCAAACCACTAAAGCTGCTGCCGCTGAAACTGCTCACCCGCAACCCAAAGCCCAGCAAGAAATACCGCACTGGATAGCTCAGTACCACTTGCCCCAGTCGTAGAAGGAAATAATGTACCAGCGCCGTTATGATCATCGGATGGAGTAATAGTTGTGCTGCTGTCTGTGGTACATGAAGTGTCTGTAGCGTCTCGTGCGCAAACGATCCTTTCTCTGAGTATCGATTAGGAATTGGTAGCAGTAGTGATAAAAGTCCCACTACTAGAATTGACACAAGTGGTAATTGCATGTTATTGACCTCGCTTGCACGCTCCACTACCACACTGCGGTCTAACTGTTAAAATATATGAATGTATGCTAAGCACCAATACTATACTGTAGACAAATCGTTGAAATGAATGTATGCTAATGTGGTTTGTTTTTCAGTGCAAAGAATGGAAAAAGATAAAAAAAAAAAAAAATGAACGAAATAGAAAACCCCACAAATTGATGCAAAGGATCAGTAAGCGTTAGCTTTTCCGCTGTTTTATACCAAACAATATTTTTACAACAAAAACAAGCAAACCCCCCCCCCATTTCTCACCTTTTTTTCCCTGCTTCTTTTGATAAACGACAATGTCCCGCTTATTATTTGCGTCCTTCAGTACACAGACTTCCTCAGCACCACCTTCGTTTCAGCGGTTTATTCAGCGTGGTAAGGTACTGACTATGTACCGTCGATTTATGCGTCTAACCAAACGCGTACCTGATAGTACCACACGCAAAGAAACGCGTGCATGGATACGTGGTGATTTTGAGCGGTACAAATCAGAGTCCGATCCTCAGCGGATCGACGTACTTTTAGCTCAGGCAAGTCGCCAGTACAAGGAAATGGAATCAGGCGTGTTTTCAATGCTTTAAAAATGTAATATTTTTGTTATTTTCATTACAAGATGGCGGCAAAAAAAAAAAAAAAGAAGAGAGACTTGCCTTTTTAGTTATGTGAAAGTGCAGGTTGTTATTGTCTATTGATGGTTTTCAGGAATAATTCCAGGCACAACCTTTATAGGCTCCTCACTAGGGCAGCAAGAGCTAGGTAGACATCCGCCATCGCGGCATGCTAACAGACAGGGTCCAATTGCAGTCTGTTTGCCGTTGTTATTGTTCTGCATGTTATGACTGCCAGGCACAATTGCGACCTTGCTTAATGCCGAGCCCTCGTGCCCCTGGTTCCCCCCATTTTGCTGCGCTGACGAAGCCTCCTCCATAGTATTCACAAGACTTACTGAATCGCCATTTTGTGCATTAGCAGTAGCCACAGACACGGGCTGACCAACTACAAACTCGGGTTGGATGGTGGTAGAGTGGATTCCGTGCCTGTGCATTGCATGCTTGACCTCCGATGCCACATCCATATACAGACAGTCCATGTCCACAGCCCCGGGTGTCGACAGCGTGTTTAGGCTTCGATTTCGCGAGACCAACCGGACCGATGTAGATGTCGCTGTTGTTGTAGTTGACATTGGTATGTAGTGGTCGCCGGCTTTTGCTGCAATGTTTGTGTCACTGGACGAATTGCTGTTGTGGATGCACTGGTGGGACGGCGGCCGGTCGATAAGAACGTGCACCGAAGCAACGTTCTTGGTGTCCGAGAGCTGCCACACATGCAAATCGTGTACATTCAGCACATGTGGGATTGCTCTGAGGTCGCGGCGGAGGTCCTCCAGGTCGACATTGCTTGGTACGCCATTAAGCAAAATAAACGACGCGCTCTTCACCAGTGGTATCGTAATGCACACAATTAGTGTGTTAATCAATATTGACATGGCCGGATCAAAGTAGAAGCGCCAAGAGCCCTCTGCTTTCCAGATCACCAAACCGCTAATTATTACCGCAACATTGGTTATACAATCACCAAACACGTGCAGCCACACTCCGTGCATGTTCAAATGTCCACCCGAACCACCACTGCATTCCCCTCCACCGCTACTGCTTCTGCGCCGTTTCGTGTGACTCTTTCTCCGTGCTGCAACAATCTGGGGCGACGACTTTCCGCTTGCATCCCTCGAACCCGGAATATCCGATGACTCGTCACTAAATTCTCCGTCAATCATCTGTTGCGCCGAATTTATGATAGCTTGATGTGTATATACTGGATGTGGCACCCCGATAATCGAACGGTTATCAATGGCGCTCGACTGCATCCGGGAACTGCTGCCTGCTGCTTCTGCATAATTAATGGCATTATACGCCGTTTGGTGGTCACCTGTGGATAAAAGACTCCCCTGTTCGCCAACCACCTCCTCCTCGTCGTCATGTACGTGCGCATGTGTATCGCTATGTGCATGTCCATGCGAATGCCCATGCCCGTGTTCATGGAATAGCATCAATCCAAGGAGATTAAACGCCAGCCCCACGCAACCAACCAACATGACCAGCTTTGGATTCCTCACCTGTTCAATATTAATAAATCGCTCAATAGAGTCAATATATATTGTAAGACAGAGTCCGAGTAAAAGCACCCCATTCGTCAGCGCTCCAAGTATCTCTGCTCGCTGCCATCCGTACGTATTGTTTGGAACCGTCTTCTCTGACTTTGCCATCTAACCAACGCATACGCATATTAATGCAGAAAACACACCAAAATATATATCAGCCTTGTTATAAACGTTCATACTACCCATCACATATCCTATAAAAAAAACCCCCACTTTTGTATTACAAGTTGCCAATACTTACCATTATAGCCCACAACGCAATCGCCATTCCAAGAACATCGTTGAGCATATGAAACGAATCTGCCACCAATGTAATGGAACCTGCGACAATGCCTACTATTAGCTCGATAAAAAACATTGTAGAGCTCAAACCCAGCATTAAGCTGACCTTGGCTGTGCGTGAAAGCTTTGCCATAGCAAAAAATATAGTTGCTGATAGTGAAAAAAATGTCCTAGTTGAAATGCAAACTGGAAAGATAAATTTGAAACAAAAGAAAAAGAGGAAAGAAAAAAAAACACCTAAAAATAAAAGTGAAAGGCATGCTTTGCGGAAGCAGTTGTATCTTGAGCTTCCTAGCATTGGTGTTTATCTGTGTGTTTGTTGGCTCATTATACTTGCTCACGCGGTATTACAAAGCTCCCCTTATCTTCAACAGCACCCCACACATCTTTTGTAAAAGTTGCGTAGCACTCTCCTCCGATTGGCAAAGGTATCCAACCTCAAACTGTGAATAAGAATGTTAAAACCAAACGCTATTTGTCTCGATCAGCTTCTTCACAAAACTGCCATAAAAGAAGGTTTACATTAAAAACAGAAGATGCAGGGCATGCTTCTAAGAAACCCCTTCCAATTACCCTGCAAAAACAAACAAAAAAAAAAGTTGTGGTCGTACCCGGGTTCGAACCGGGGTTGCTGGAATCAAAATCCAGAGTGATAAACCTCTACACTATACAACCCGTTGTAAGATAATTACTACAATTTCGTTAATTAAAATATAAATATGTTTTTAAATATCTGTACTGCTATGTCTATAGTGTTAGCTGCAATTACAACGCCAATGAGCTTTATTTATTTGTAAATATATAGTCAAATATATTAAATTCATTAATTCTTGTTCAGCAGCAGCTATTCAGAACAAGTTGTCAATGATATGCACGCTGGTTTGGCAAAAACTGGGGTAGGCATACATTACATATCCATTTAAACACATGGCTACATATTGACAATATGGATGAGGCAACATAGATACTTCCAGTATAATATATTGTATTTTCAAGCACTCATACTTTATCTTAGACCTGTTGCTTGTCACAAACAGTTTATATAATATTTTTCAGTAGTCAAGATGAGACATCTTTCTATTTTTATTATTAGTATTTTTCTATCGCTAAACACAACAGCTGTAGAAGATAATGATATTGATGACGATGTTATAGGGCGTTCAATTGGAGAGCGACCAGATTTTCTTGAAGATTTAGTATCAGATGCAAGTCAGACAAACAGTGGTGATGAACAAGCTGGATGTATTAGTGAATGCAAAGATACAGATCAAAGTTGCAAAGCAAGATGTCTGGGAGTTCCAGGGGCAGCTTCACGCAAGTCACCTAGAAAACAAGACATAAACGGCAATCTACCCCTCAATTGGAAAATAGATAAAAGTACTGACACAACATCAGAAGCAGATACTCTGTTTCCCCACTTACTTTTTATCATTGGCATGGCGACAAGTGGATGGTGTTAGATTTCTTAAACAGCACATGCGCATAAACCTTTTAATAACTGCAGCTTTTCAGAAACCATTAGCTTTTTTTTTCATTATTATTCAAACTATCTTTTATTCGTGTTAAAACAATATCACTATTTTTTTTTTTTATGTGAAAAATGCATTCCCCTTTAGCACGAGTGTTAGCTGCAATACTACTATGTCGATTAGCAGCAGAAGTCACAGCACAACGTACAATATCCAAAACACACAATTCAAACATAGAATCCCACACACCTGCTTTGCGTCTATATAGAACTGGAGATAACGATGAGATTGCAGAATGTCAGAGTAGATGCAGTGATACACTGTGTCATGAGCGATGTAAACGAACAGGCTTAACTGAAGAAAACATAGTTAGACGCACACAACGATGTACAGAAGATTGTAAAGAAGAACCCGATGAACTTGTACAGATGTGTATCCAGAGATGTTCATATTATATGATAAATCCTGCAAAACATACAGTAGAAATGATACCTGCAAGTAAGGTAGGTCAGAATGGACTGCTAATAGAAAACGAACACATAAGAACACGAGTACGACTCATTGGCCCCAATGGACTTCCACTAGTGGAGACTCAAACAGATCCACCAACATCAACAGAAACCAGCATTAGCATTATCTCTGATGCGGATACAAGCATCTGGCCACCCATGTACCGGGTTGAGCTTGTGAACGGAACTCTTGGTAATGTCATCCGGAAAGACGTAGTAGTATATGGATTGGCGCTTTTGTGCTTTTTGGTTTAAGCTCTCTCAACCCTCTTTTCATTTTAAGCACAAACCTTTTTTTTTTTTTTTTTTTGTTATTTTCCTACTCTTTTTTTTTTTTCGCATGCAATGAATTTGTTTTGCATTCCTTGGAATCGGCGCAAGGTGTTCAGAGCACTGGGGTTCTTTCCAGTTATTTTTACAATATGTTTGCTGGGCTGGTCAATATACACCTACTTTCAACAAATTGTTCCGCTAATTGCAAAGCACAGCAAGACGTTGGCGTGTATATTTAGTGTGGTAGTAGCGGCATTGCTAATAATGTCCGTATGGTGCTACATTATTTGTGTTTCACGGAGTCCCGGCACTACAGCAGCACATGCAACCACAATATCATCTCATGGCGGTATGAGTAATAGTCCACCATCTATCAGACTCTCACGACGAAGAAATGCAGATACTGTGAACACTGGTTTTGAAGACAGCGATAGCAGTGATGGCTCGACCATGTTAACTGATAGTCAACGTCGAGAGTCGGGACTTATCAACACTATTACAGTCAGAGACGATGGGGAACCTAGGTACTGCCACAAGTGCTGTGCGCCAAAACCAGATCGCGCACACCACTGTAGCATATGTGATGTGTGTGTGCTGCGTATGGATCATCATTGCCCGTGGCTCGGAAGCCAGTGCGTTGGATTCCGAACACACAAGGCATTTGTGTTATTCCTTGTATACACTGCGTTGTATACGCTGCTGTTATTTATATTGGCATTCTTCTACTACGGTTTGCCACTCTTCAACGCAGCAGAGTTTTCATACGAAGACGCAGGAGAGATAATCATGGTACTATTGCTTATATTTCTGGCGTTCCTGTTCTCTTTGCTTTTGATTGGATTCTCGGCATTCCATCTATATCTTGTGGCTAACAATCAGACAACACTCGAGCACGATGGCAGAAACAACTACCGTGTTGAAGGATCTAATGAGATTGTATGGAGAAGCAAGATCAATTTGTTTGATTTGGGACACCGCAAGAACTTTGAGCAGATTTTTGGCACCTCGCGAAAGCTATGGTTTGTTCCAATGTATACAACTATAGGCGATGGTATTCGGTATCCTATTAGCTTTGAGCACTATAATGAGCTTCAAAACACAGCGTAGACTATTCAGATTATAATTGTTGCACTGTAGAACAGCAAGTTTTTTATTTTTTTTTTTATTTTCTTCTATTTATTATTTATTTTCGAGCATTGCTAACTTTTCATTGTTGACCCAGCTGAGATACGAATCCCAGAACAAATCAAAGCAGCTACTAAAGGGAACTCGATAGATAAGCGGGACAAAGGCAAAATTTACTGTCTGGATAATAGGAGAAATAGTTAAACCAGTAAGGTAGGTAGGTAAGAGCAAAGTCGAAAGGCGAAACTTTGCATCACTCAGACTACCACCTTCCAAAAAAGCCATGGATGAAAAAAACAAAGCATACATTGTTGGTTCATAAAAAAGCAAGTCACATAACAGCCGTTTACCAACTTGAGCAGCAGCAATACTTCGATCTGAGCGTTTAAATCTGACACCCACTCGTTTCCGCCGTGCTTTTGTAAACCATGCAGTCTGTGAACGAATTGGAAACCTACGGTCCAAAAACCTATGCCACCTTACACCAATTGGTGAAACACACATTGAGAAAAACACAAAACGCAGTGTTCTATGGAGATCGTATCCTTTAGAGTGTTCTTCTTTGTCTGTTTCCTTTTCATGTCGGTTACTAGGTAAATGTTTTCCAATTGTCTGCGCTATAAGGTCTCCACACGCTGAAAGACACGCCTCTGTTGCTGCTATTGTAACAAACGGCCGTGCCTCAGCTTGTCGCGTCCAGAACCGAAAAAAGGACGCCATTTATCTACAGATTGCTTGTTTAAATTATGTGTATTGAAAAATATTTAATGCTCTTGAGTGAAAGCAAACTAGAACTAATGGCTCTCACACTGCTAGATCAAGACCAGACCATCAAAAAAAAAAAAAAAAAATGCCCTGCAAATACATCACGTGCCTTAGGAATTTTTGTTTAACTAATCACTAGTGTGAAATCAAATCTGCGAGTAGAAAGTTGATAACAGGCAGATGCTTCGTTTTCCACCACGATAAGCTTCTTCCCCATCTTTGAGATAACTTTTACCCTTTTTCTACTATTGTACTGTATTAAATTCGACAATGTTTTTGACAATCACCAGAGCACCTGCTGGACGCGCAATAGCAGCACGAAATATTCGGTAAGTCTTATTTGGGTGTTATACACAATGGGCGTGTTTATTTTTCTTCTACCAGACCATACAGCTAAGGAAATACGAGAGAGTTGGCAAATTTTCTTCAATTTTGTTGAGGATAATATAGGGCATTTGTGGCCACAGCGCAGCGCAGGACAGAAGAATCACAAAAGACTATTGCAGAGCGTGCTCAGAAGAATCGACCAGTGTCTCCAAACCTGGGGATTTACCAGCCGCAGATGTCATGGGTTTTGTCTGGGCTACATCGTAACACAGGAGTACTGGTAGCTGGGGGAGCTTATCTTTTTACAGTGGGATTCGGACTTGCGCCGGTGTTTGGAGTTGATCTGAGCTCTGTGGCAGTTGCTGGAGCATTGGCATCGTTGCCTGCTCCGCTGATGTTGGGCACAAAGGCATTGATTGCGAGTAGTTTGAGCTTCCACTGTTTCAATGGCATTCGTCATTTGTGGTGGGATACTGGAAGGTCCGTGAGTAATAAGGGCGTTTTTAATACCGGGTATGCGGTTCTGGGTGCTACAGCACTGGCCACAGGTTACCTGACGTTCTTTTAGGCAACAATTTGCTACTATGTTTAGGATTTTTATTTAGAGCTTTTTTGATTTAAAAATACCATCACGCGCTCAGATAGAGTACTTTTATGTTTTCTCGAACCTCGCATTTTCCACACACTTCTTTGCAGCAGAATGATCGACATCAAATGACGGTCCGGTTTTCATAGTCCCTCGTTTTTCACCCCACCCAACATACACACTCGTTTTGATGCAAGGCTTCGATAATGGTTTATTATGCGGTGGTAAGTTGAGTAAACGCGCCTCTCTACTTGTGCTTTAACGCTCTTCTTTTTTAGCACGCATCGTCTCCCCTTTTTTACCTGTTATTTCTTATTTTTCGACCTAAAATACCTTTTTGCTTCCTTTACTTGTACGACTCTCCCCTTCGTTGTAGTCTGCGGTCTGCGGTAGTATAAAAAACAAACAAACCACCACAACTGAGGTTTCCCGCACCAGCACTACTACTTTTTCCCTATTACCTACACCCGACCACAATCAAACAATAAACGAACCCTTTATATTACGTTTACAACTAGAGAGTCGAGAAAACCCCGAAGAACGATAAACTATCTCAACAACACATTGGCCTACGCTGTTGTAAAGCGCTTAGAATAATAATAAAAAAACCGATAGTTGGGA